GAAAAGCAAACAAGGACAAAAAAATGGCTTCAAAAGGAAGAAAGGGTCAGCGAGGTTGATACAGAGAGCACACTTTCTCCTACTGCCATTCATTTCATAATACAAAAAAACTTTCATTCCGCGTCGTTCCACATGTCAGAAAAACGGTCTAAAAAAGATCAAATGCAGGTGTTACTGAGGGCGGACAGTCGTCACGCATCTGTCACAGCAGGACTCAAATGAGCCGAACACCCTCAGAAACCAATTACCGCTCTGATCTTCATATTCAACCGATATATCTGTGCCAGAATATTTTTAGTTATCTGTTGCAAAGTGTTTTAATGTTCAATACTGTCTTGTTGAGAGTTTATTTGATTACATTTTAATGTCATTTATTATTTTATATATATATTTTTAATTATTTACCAATTCTGGCATCTTCCCATCACAGTTTTTACTGTGTATATATTAATATTTGGCATTGTGTTTAAAGCCATCACACCAGTAAGTATATGCTGAAATGATATGGAATATGATTAATGCATTACAAATGGATTATGTAACAATATTACTATTTATTCTGTGAAGGGGATTGGGTTTAAATTGTAGTTAGCTGAATAGTTAGTTCCCACTCACCATGTACTTTCCAAATAATAAAAACAAAGAAAAAACATTGAATTAGTATTTTCTCAATAAAGAATAGAGCAGGCACTAGCACACCACAGCTGAAACACTTTCACTGGTGAGGTAGTGTCAAAGACAAGATATTCAATGAGAACTTGTGTGATTTTCATTGAACTGTTGTGTTATTGGGTCTCCCTTTTTTTAGCTGATGCAATGTATTATACATGTTGGCTTCTACGTGGCAACAAGACACACATATCTGAGGAATCAAAGAATGTACTTTTGAGTCATTTGCATGTTGCATCAAACAGCCTGTTGTAACTTACCTAAGAATTTGTGCAGTGAAATATTGATGCTGAGGTCTGGTAATTCCCTTTCCAGCTCACAGGTAGTGATATTACAGACATATTTTCCAACACTAAAGCTCCTGTCATAATAAAAGTGATGAAAAAAAATATATATATATTTGAATTCTTCTTGAACACACAAGACATGCCTCTCTAAAGGCATTAACTGTATCACTCGGACCATTTAATCAGTTTGCCAGAAATGTTATGAGTCATAAACATGCTGAAAACAAATAATCACCCAGTCATTATGGGTTCATTTAAACATTTTAATTAGCATGTCAGATTAAATCAAATAGCAAGTCTTACTGTTTATGTTAAATGCCTTATACAATCAAACTGTAAATGTAGGATAAATGAATAAAATCCAATTTCCAAATAAGATAAACATTTTAGTACATAACAACCAGCTTTTTTCAACATGTGCCCTGAAATTAAAATTAATTTCTGTTATTGTTCAGTAACTTAAACGTACATTTAAATACATTAAAGGCGTATATTAATGTCAAGTCCTGAAAAAAATCCTTCACCCGCAGGAAAACTGAGGTACAAAACAACACACAGCAGCAAGTTGTGTATTGCACCATAATATTCAGTGAAACATTGGAACAATGAATAATTCAGTGGTTTGGCCTCATGACTAACAGGTTAAACATATTTATTTAGGGGTCAATAAAGTGCCAGAGTGCATGTGTGTAACACAGGACAGCTAAATAATGCACCACTGAATCTCAAGGGGACACTAAACTGACCGATTTCAAGGAATGGACCAGAAAGTTGCACTCTCAACCAATGTATCGACTGTGCTCTTTCTCAGGGGAAACATTCACACTGCAGTCTTGTTATAGAGCCTCATATAAGTCATACAGTTAAATGCAAGAATGCAATGTGTAAATCGTGACATCCAGCATTGAAGAACAGCTCATAATCTTTCATCGGGTTCAAATGAAGGCCTGTCCATTCATATCTCTTTTTACTTTACATCCTATTTCACAGATGCTGTGGGTCTTTCATAATAACTGCAGGATGTATCCCATTCACTGTTGAATTACGCACTTAAAGTAACAACAGGTAACTTTTCAACCTTCATAATATATTTCCAAGTCTCTTGTGATGGTACATCGACTTACAATAGGTTGAATGACACGTCTGCCATAGCCTGACGGGGTCTGTAGCGTTTTTAATCGTACTTTTAAACTTCGGGTTTCGGGTAGTAACCGGCGAACAAAGAGAACTACAAAATTCGACTGCTTTACGGCATATACGTCACTTCCACCACCACCCCCACTTCCTTAAAATCGGACTTGCGAGCCAAATGTTATAGTCATGGGCGAAGCAGCACAGAAAAACAAGAAAGCAAAGGTTTTATCGGAGCAAAGCAAAAAGAGAAAAAGAGAAAGTGATCGCGTTAAAGGCAGAACGAGGATCAACATTGCAGAGCTGCCAACTCACGCATTGGCCCCACACCCCCGGTTTCTCACGCTAAATTGTCAACCCGGTCGGTCAAATCCCTGAAAGATGAGTTTATCTATAGATCTACCTGTTGAGCCACTCGTGATCGACAAGTTATACCGCAAATTAGTTCAAATCTCCCGGAATCTAGAGCGAGCGCGCACGCGAGACAGAGACTGTGCTCCTACGCGCGCGGACGGCAGAGAGAGAAAGCGAGCGAGAGACCTTGCGTGTGCAGGGAGCATCGAACCCCCCATCGAAAAAAGAATGCCTCTCTCTAACCTCTCTAATTCGCTAGAGTAGTAGCGAATTATCAATCTGGTAGCTAGTAAACGATATTCTAGTTTTTGATGGTTAGCTATCGCTAGTACTCGTTCTGATTTGAACTTTGCAATCGATGAAATGCAAATAGCAAATGTTTGACCTAAAAAGTGTAGTCTACTCAACATGTACAAAGAAAGGAGGAAGATTATTAATAAAATCATATTTTAGGATACCTAACATGTCTGTGATATTTGTTTATTTGTCTTGCCTCAAGCTATAATGCAAATCGATTTGTAAAATTTGCAGATTCATTTATGGTAGCTTGATATTATAATATTGACGATATATGGTTATTATCAACCACTCAAACATTGCATTGAAGTATCATATAGATCCAGTAAAACGGTAACCAATAGACTAGACGCTGGCTTGTAAACGTGAGCATCGCGATCATTTGTCGTTAGAAAAAAAATAAAACCCATGAAATTATATTCATATGACATGCTGAAATATATGCCACTGTACCTGGGATGAAGACATTTCACACGCGACGCAAGCAGAACACCTGCATGTGACCTCCTCCTACAGTGTTCAGGGCTATCCTGGTTGTCAACAATTGCACGTGCATGTAGGATGACAGAGTTTACGACAGTAGTAGAGGACAATACTGTTTCCCAACTGTAGGGGGAGCCCGAGAGCAAAAAACGACCTGTTGTTACTTTAATTGTGACAGGCATCAGCACAGAAAACGTATTTTGTGTATTTCAGCAGGAATAGTATTTCAATAGGAAAGTCAGATTGTAGCATCTTACTGTATATCTGGCATGTGATACCAGATTGTAATCTTATACAACAATATGCTTTTTATCATCCCTCAGAGGACGCCATTCTTAGATCAATGTGGACAGGGCATAGATCACACAGACAACTTTACAATTGAACCCCTGGGTTTTACCCTGATTGACTGTAATCAAGAGAGACTAAACCCAAACATAATGGCCTGGATGCCCTCATGAACTGAGATTCTGTGGATGCTGCATCGTTTTATTGTCTTGGCAGAAAGCATTCAGGAATAACATCTCTGTTCTTCCTAAAGGCAACGAAACTGCAGGATCTTTAAGTTAGTAATTTTCTAGTTCATTGACTTTTAAACATCTGATGCGCATGGCCAATGAATCACATTTTGCAATTTTGCACTTTATACTTCTCATTTTCTGTTGACTATATTATTGCTGCTTATTTCTGTAAATCGATTTGTGATGGATGTTGCATATTCCAATCAAGTTCACAGCGAGAATTTGAATTACATTGCCCATAATACATTTGTGTGTATTTGTGTACTCCCACCATCCTATACTGTGTCAGAAGAGAAACACCCCTGATGGCTTTACATTCTTGTCTAAGGCAAGTATTATACAGGTGAAACTCAAACAATGCAAATATAATTCAGTAATTCAACTTAAAAGGTGAAACTAATATATTATATTGCAAAGTGAGATATTTCAAGCCTTTATTTGCTATAATTTTGATGATTATGGCTTACAGCTTGTGAAAACCCCAAAGTCAAAAGTAGAATATTGTGAAAAGTTTTCATTAAGCTGTAAGACATAATCATCAAAATTATAACAATTATAATTATAATAATTTAATGCTTGAAATATCTCACTTTGCATAATGAGTCTATATAATATATTAGTTTCACCTTTTAAGTTGAATTACTGAAATAAATGAACTTTTGCACGATATTCTAATTTTTTGAGTTTCACCTGTGTGTGTGTGTGTGTGTGTGTGTGTGTATATATATATATATATATATATATATTTACCAAAACATTGTAACTGGGCTGAACATTTTGGTGGCCAAAGTTTCAGTGCTTTATAGTATTTTTTTGTTATTGACTTTTTAATCAGGCTATACTTGTTTGTGACAAATTGTATAAGGTTTCAGTACACTGTCCCTAAACCACCAATTTTATTGTGTGTGAAGAGAAAGAATCAAATCACTACCAGTACCATTCATTTTCATCCATTTTTTACTTGTGACAGATTCTCATTTTGAATATTTTCTGAAATTTAAAAGTGTAAAAATAAGTTAAGCAATTTTCAACTTTTTAAAAATAATTTATACAAGATTCAACTCATTTTTAAGGTCAGTTTAATGTAATTTAAGATGACTTAAACATCCAAGTTGATTGTACTTAAGACTGCAACTTTTTAAATTTCAGAATTTAGTCTAATTTTCTTTATTAAGAATGTATTAAACAACTGCATAATTCATGAAGACAATAAGATGTGCTGAAGAACAATCATGTTTATTGATAACACAAGACAACCATTAAAAAATATAAATAATATAAACATAAAACCCATGCTGTTTTGTTACATTCTGCGTTTTGATGAAAACTTGTTATCATGGACCTTATCAAGTGATTCAGAAAACAGATTTCCACCCTGCGTCTTTCAGGTCATCGTTTGTGCATGACATTATGCATCAAGAAAGGATGATGGATTTGCTTCTTTTTAATGATTCAGATGCACTTCAGAAGAAATGAGTTACAGTTGGATCCTCTGACACATTCACACAATTTCCCAAAGCGTGGACCGAGTCTCATGGCGCAGCGGGACCCCACAGCACACTACAGAAAGACACAGAGAGAAAGAATTTCATGATCAGATGTGAAGACCATGATCATGTTGTTTTACAAGACATTTGAAGCAAATTACTTATAATATGAGGAAAAAAAGGTGACAAAGAAATGGAGCAATATTTACCTGCGCAATGCCACGTTTTTCTGAAGTTGGTAAACTGGTCTTATATCTCCCCAAAAGTGCAGTCATAGCCTCAACCTATGCAAAAAAACAAAAAACAAAAAAAAACAAGCAACTGAGTAGCCTATTTTTTTATTTGAGATATGAATGAAAATAATTATACTTTTTATTCCAGTCATATGAAAATAGTCTAAATATAAACACAAACAATTTTAACACTTCTCCAACCAGTTAGCCTGTTCAGTTTTTGGTTCACATATAATTGGCCACATATGTCAAAAGATATCACACAGCAAAGAAATTTTGCGAATACTCACTAATTCGTTCTCCGTTTCAAGCTGGGACAGTTGTGAGTCTTCCGAGGACAGTTCTTGTGAAATTTGTCCAGAGCACATGACGGTAAAGAGGCCGACCATGATCAGTCCGGACAGTATCTCTGAGCTCGTCATGTCCAGACTCCAGTCAACTGTCCGGGTCACAGGACACTGAGGTGTGGAGAGGCGGGTCACTTAGTAAACACGGTCTGTTAGTGTTAAACAGTTCACTGGCTGCTTTATAAACTGATTTGCCCCGCCCTGACTTATATCGTGTCAGCTATTGGGCAAAGGATAGCATTTTCCTAACGCTGAGATTGGAGCACAAACATGCGGTTTATTGCATGTTCAAGGCAATTCTCCTTCCTGATGTCGTTTACTTATGCAGGCATATACTGCAGCTGTCGAAACATGAATAGAATAGAATAGAATAGAATAGAATAGAATAGAATAGAATAGAATAGAAAAGAATAGAATAGGCTTATTTTGTTTTATAATTATTTCTGCCGTTTGAGCTCATATTACAGTTTTTTATGAATTGCTAAAACATTAAATCCCATTCTCTGAACCACAAATCTTAATAGCCTGCAATTTTTAATAAGACACCATTTGCAAATCTCAAGCACTATTTTTTTGTGTGCAAAATGTTAAACACATGCTGCACTGTGATGCACTAGTGTTTTTAAAACGCTAAACACAGACAGGCAAAAGTTAAACACAACTACAACACTGTCATTGTTTACACAAAACGATTCAAAATTGTTCACCATTTTTTCTAATGATGTGACCAACCCAAGTAGCATAATTCAAGTTCACAGTGCCCAAATTGACTTAAAAATGTTGCACTGAATGTTGATACCAACAATGGATGGAAACATTTCTCTCACTGACCGTGATTTTACAGTTCTTCTGGGTGTACTGTAACACGCTTTTCATATAGAGTTTTTTACTGTAACCTTTTTGCCTTTTGCAGTTGCGTCACTTTATTTTCACAGTATGCAAGTGCTGAATAAACAGACATTCGATAGGCCTACTATACAATATTCAGTACAATATACTTGCAGTGCATACAGAATACAATTTATTCACCTTACTAGGCTACTGTAAGTTGTCATTACTATACTTTTTTACGTAATTGCAAAATTTGTTTATTTTGTTACAATACTGTTTTGTGTAATTGCATGCTTTGGATTTTGTGTTCTCCATCTTTTGTTGTAATGTCTAACGAATGATCTGTAGTGTTTATAATTTTGACTCGCAGTATGATCTCAAAGCATTGTTTGATTTTGAGCACAGATAAAATTTTGAGGTCAATTGTTTGATTTTGCCAGAAGAGTAAGAGGTTCTGTGAATGTGGTTTGAAAATTTGGTTTTGTGTTTAAGGTTTTGAGAAAGTGAGTGATGGTTTCAAGAAATGTATATAGGAAGTTTGCTTGGGCCCCCTGCTGGAGAATCACTGGTGGCAGACGATGACCAGTGTGGGCTGTAGAGGGCGCTGCAGTCACGGTTAAAAGTTTTGAAGTGATTTTCTTGAAATGGGTGTTTCCTGAAACGCATACTTCAGGATTTAGGAAGGAACACGCCCATGACATCAGTGGGTTTTCAAAGAAAAAAAGTCGCTGAAACTGTGAAGCGAAGTAAGAAGGGGGCCAGAGGTGCCTTCTCAAGGTCTAAATATAAATCCTAAAGGACACAGATCTGCGTTGAGAACTCAGAAGGAAAAAGGACTAACTTTTTGAGAAAACATGTCAACTTCTGAAGAGACAGACGGTGTCCGACCGAGATATGGGTGTAAGTAATATTAATACGTTTTCTTTAGGCGTTCTGAAACATGTTGCTCGGTGTGTTACAAGAAAACTTTTCATTTTCATTTTATACAAATGCTTTAATTCAAAGAAAGTGACGTTCAATTGCTTTTGATGCTTTTAATACAGTTGCTCGTGTTTTTAATGCTCAAGTTTGCATCGGCATGGTTAACAACTTCCGCATTATAATAGCCTGTATGTGCTGGGGCGAACCGAGCGGGATCACATGGACAGCGTTTTTGAGCAACCAAACATGTTGTTTTTAATGTGATTTTACACTAATCATCGATATTCAGTTCTCTATGCTGGGAGAACCGCAGTACTAATCAAGAAATATAAATTGAACATGAAATATCTGCGCACGGCGTAGTACATACTCTCTGCATACCTTTGATATAGACAAGACCGTTTGAAAAGCAGTTTTATTAAGTAGTCAGTGGTTTGGATCTAGCCCATAAGGAAGCTTTCTCTCATTAATGAGTGTTTATTAATGAACCTTTATTAAAAGCAGAAAACCAATCAACAAAAACGCACAAATGAAGGTCGGACGTCACTACCAGTGACTCAAACGCTGGAGTCTTTGTATCGCGCGCTGCTATTTATTTCCACCCCTGTCTATGGGTCAAACCAGAGCCATATAGAGAAAAACCAAACTGACTAATTATGGAGTTACTTTGCTGCCGCAAAGGCGGTTAACTGTTTCTGGTAATACAGTTTCAATGATCTGTTTCACTAGCTGACAACTCTGCAAAACCAGTCACTTTTCTAAGCTTGATACAGTATTTCGCTTTAGTGGTGTGATTCACCTCACCTGAATCTTTTGAATCAATTTAAATGATTCATTTAGATTCTGTCACTGATTCGTTCAGTGGGGCTTTATGGCGGTGGGTGGAGACGACTCTTTTTGTGTGTTATGAGCGAGTCATCGAATCATTCACTCATCTATTCGTTAAAAAAACAATTGGTTGACTGAAACAAGGGTTTAAATAAACTGCACGATTTTAATCTAAGTATAAAAAGTTAAGTTAGGCCTATAGTAAATAAAGTAAATGGGAGTTTAACCCTCGGTTTCACAGACACGGTTTATAGTCCTAGACTAAAATGCATGTTTGAGCCGTTTTAACTGAAAACAATTTGCACTGACATATCTTAAAATATGTCAAGGATTATGGGTGACATATCTTAAAATATGTCAGTGGGATTGTTTTGTAACAAGAAAGTAATGTTTTTTTTTTCTTTCTAGGGCACGTCTTCAAAGGCTACTTAAATGCCCTTATTGAATTCAGGCATAATCCTAGTTCAGTCTAAGCCCTGTCTGTAAAACCTGTTATGTGATAAACTTGGTGACTTTATTTCTGTATGGTCATTGGTCATCAGTAACTTTTAAACATTCAGGATTATTAGGTGTGGTGGAGCTAGTTATTACTTAGGTAGGGTAACGTAACAGTTCAAATGAGGCTTGAGTCTATTTAGCTCTGAACAACAATCATTTGGTGGTTGAATCATGCCATTTTATTATCTTCTAGACTTTTTTTTTTTTATCTGTATGCAATGGAAAAATGCCATTAATAGTCTTGTTCTTGGAAAACCTTTTAGAGCAGTGCCTAAAACAGTCACTGAAGAATGTAATGAGTGACATAGTACCTTAAGATTACCCTCGTCATAGATCTGTTCACGTCTGAACATGCAAACATCATTTTGAAGTGGGTTTCTTTGCAGTTTGTTGCAGGGTAAAGGATTGTTTTGAGGTTTAATAATTCAAAATCTAAGACCGCAATACTGTTATGGTTCACTCACTGTCATTTAAAGTTTAATATTCACAATTTAGGATTTACTTACTCTGACTGCTAGGGATGTGAATCCCCTCAGATGAAAGCTGTTTTCAGAGGTAGAGCTTGGCAGCCTGATTTATTCCCTTAATGTTTATTTTCCAACAGAGGTTTGACTTACAAATGCATCTAATGCATCAAATTGGTCCAAAGTGGATCATAACAGTTCAGACCATTTTGAATGTTCCTGTACAACTCTAGAGACTGAAATTAGAAGCTTTTCAAATCTCAGGCCATATTTAAATTTTGGCAGGAATAAAAAAAATAGGGATAGAAGTACAGTGTGTTCAATAGATTGTACTGTTGTGTTTAACAACATGCCTATTGTTCATCTTTCTAAAGAAGCACTTTCAGTCGACAAAAACTCCATGAAACAGTTTTGAAAGTTGTGTTTTGAAAATTACTTGATAGACTGTAAGTCTGTTAGCCTGGTTAAAACCAGACCATTCTCAGTTGTAACTGAGTTATGGTCTGGCAAAGCGTCATAGACAAATCATTTCCAGAGGGGCGTCACCAACAGACGTCGCGTATAGACCTAAAACCAATCAGAGCGATGAAGGAGATGACGTATGCAGAGCGGTGGAGAAACATCTCCAAGTGTTGTTCTTTGCTCGGTTTTTAACAAAAGGGAAACGTTCAAATCGCTTAAAACAGACTCGATAGCGGATTCGAACGAGTGATGTTCGACGGCGGCATCCATCTTTGTAATGTAGGCTACAAAATCTGCTTCAAAATCCCAGCGCTGACGTCATCGTGTAAAGCCCGCCCCAACGTTTCTGATTGGTGCCTCGATTTCGACGGATTGGAAATGGGCTTGAATGAGCTCTTTGCCAGACTAACTTTCAGAGCAAATCTAAATTTGCCGGAAGTTGTCTGGGTTTTCCCAGGCTATAAGTCTGTCCCTTACAGTGTCATTTTCATTCGCATAAAATTCAGTATGGTGTCTGTCCTGGCTAAGGTCTTTTACAGACAAATGTGTATTTCCAAAGTTTCCTCCTTATTTCTTCTGTCTGAAGTATGTGTGGCCATTAATAATTCAATGTATCTTCTCTTTGCACATGACATTAAACCCTATTAAATGATTTCAGTATGTGGAATAATCACAGAGGTCAGGCTCATAAGACATGTTATATATATTACAAAGTTTGCATAAACTGCTGAAACAGTTTGGTTAGAATGGAGCAGTTTAATTATATTTTATTCTAACCGTTTGAGGGTGACTGTATTTAAGATATTATGTACAGTATGTGAGAAATATATCTACTACTGTTCTCTTTTTGAACAAAGGCTGTTATTTTAATATATTTTAAAATGTGAAATTTCAGCATCATTACTCCAGTCTTCAGTCTCACATGATCCTTCAGAGATCATTCTAATATGCTGATTTGCTGCTCAAGAAACATTTCTTCTTTCAAAAGAAAAAAAAAATCTTACTGACCCCAAACTTTTGAACAGTACACAGTAAGTGTGTGTTTCATTCTCATGTCTCGTATGTTTCCCCCCTCATTTTAGCTGTCCTGGATGGTGTGGAGCGGCTCACTGCTGAGGAGATGGATGAGCGGCGTCAGCAGAACATGGCCTATGAATACCTGTGCCACTTGGAGGAGGCTAAACGGTAAGAGTCCAAATCTCCATTTCAGCCCCTCGGCAGTTGTGTTACTTCATGACGGTTAACAGTTACGGTTAAAATAGCAGCTTAGCTTTCAGTTGGTGGTTTTTTAATTTCTCTGGGATGAATACTTGTCACATGATTTAGGGTTTCTATCTGCATGTCCCAGCAAGACCTAGCTACAGTGAATTTCTAAATAACTCAGACTCTCCATAAAGAGATAGGTCACCCCCCCCCCCCCCCCCCAAAAAAAAAAAAAAAAATTGCCGTTGTTTTCACACCATCATGTCATTCATTCCAAACCTGCAAAATCTTTTTCTGTGGAACAATTGAAAAAGATTTGATGAAAAAGATTTAATGAGTATTTCAGCTGTTTTTGTCCACACAGTGAAAGCCATTGGGGGTCCAAAACTTAATTGAGCCCTAAAGATTTTCATTTTGTGTACAAAATAAGTTTAAACATTCTTAAAAGTATATTCTTTTGTGTAATGCAAATGGAAGGTCAAACAGATTTGCAATGACATAAGGGTGAGAAGATTAATTTTTTTGGGTGAATTGTCCTTTAAATTAAAACAGGTTTTCAAGGAGTGTGTGGAAAGTAAGATCTGAGTGCATAATACTACTGTTGAAAAGTAAAAGTTTGGGGTTGGATTTTCAGCATCATTACTCCAGTCTTCAGTGTCACATGATCCTTCAGAAATCATTCTAATGCTGATTTGCAGCTCAAGAAACATTTCCTATTATTATCGATGTTGAATCGATATAAACAGCAGTTGTGCTGCTGTTTATATTTATTTGTAAACCATTTTTTGATGAATAGACAGTTCAAAAGGGCAGCATTTATTTGAATTGAAAATCTTTTGTAATATTATGAATGTCTTTACTGCCAATTTTGATCAACTTAATGCGTCCTTGCTGAATAAAAATTAATTTCTCAATTAAAAACCCCCACTTCTTACTGGCATTAACCTTTTGAATGGTTGGGCAGATTTGTACATTTTCATAGGTAAATTTAAGTAGTGCTTGCCTCAGGGTGTTTCTGTGCGGTTGCTAATGTGTTGTAAGTGATTTTAAGCATGTTGGTGTGTGGTTAAGCCTTCTAGATTATTTCTAGGTCCAGTTAGGTGGCTTGGATAAGAAATGGCTCACCTCCATCAAACCACACATTTCGAGGTACCACAAAAGGTGTGTGATGAGTTACATGCCAAAGTAGAAGTTTATTTAAGTCTCTAATCAGCTGTATCTATATTTTTGGGATCTTCTGGAGATTATGGCCTGTCATTGCATATATTACATACACAAAGACACATCAGTGGTGCAACAGGAAGTGAGTCAGTCCCTGTTGATTTCAGTATCTCACTATGTAACTGTGGCAACATGAGGTTGTCATAGAGACTGGTTCCGGTGTCTGCGTGTTTGAGGGAATGAGTGCGTGACATAGTGGGAGAGAAAGAAACTCCACTGTATACATACATAAGTGGGCAGATAAGGTCAAAAGAGTCAAACTCATTTATACTGCACTGCTACCCTTTTCAGGTGTCCTCATTTGTCCTGCTGTGGCATCCAAAATTTACAGTGCGCCTGCACTTTAATAAATCAACTAAAACTCCAAATTGTTGCTATTCTTGACGTCATCCATCAGGCTTTTGCCTGGAGTTTCTTTCTCAGACCTTGTTGAGCTGACAGTGTTTGCCCTCGGGCTTGATCTCTGGAATTCTTGGAGTTTGCAGCGAGTGTGACGTACGGCGATCTGCGGTATGATGAGAATTTTGCAGGTTTACATGCAGTGTCTGAGAGCAGAAGCTTGTGAATTTGTGTTAGTTTTTTAGAATACCGCTGTGCTGATATTTCCAAACGAGCTTTTATCTTTGGTTTATTTCCATACCACAGATTACTTTAAGGCATGAAAGGCTGCTCTGTGTGACGATTTGCTCAAGTTAATTGCGTTTGTCTCTGAGCTATGTAATGCAAATTCTGCGCTTACTTTATCCATTCTTATTTCCATCTGTGACTATCTAGGAACCACTGTGCCATTTCTTATTTTGCACTCTTGAGCACTCATTTGGTTCTAAACAGTTCTAGAATAGGTTCTTTGGAATAATAGCATAACCCTTTTTGGTGTTAAATAGAAAGAACCCTTTTTAAAAGTTTCCATTAAGAACCATGCTTTGAAAGTGCTATAGAACCCTAATGATGTTATAAAGAACCTGTATGAGTTTCTTTGTTCTGTTGAACACAAATGAAGATATTTTGAAGAATGTAGGTAACCAGACAGTTGATAGTGACTTCCATAGTATTATAGCTCACTTTTTTTTAAGTGCGGGTATAAAGAACCCTAAACTGTAACACAAAGAATCATTTCAGCATTAAAGTATTCTTCAAGACAATGTGGTTCTAAGAGTGAATGATGTCTTCTGGAATTGAAACAGTATGAGCTCAACAGAAGGAGACCTGCTGTAAAAATTGGTGTAAGATGCATGAAGGTCAGGGCACAAGGTCACAGTTTTGCATGTAGAGTTGCATGCATTACCTTGTGGGTGGAGTCAGCCATTTTTGATTACCTAGCAGTCCAGATGCTTTGTTTTAGTACAATTTTCTTGAAATGTTTTTCAAAAACAATGTGAAGGAGTACATTTCTAAGAATTTGGCAAGATTTTTACTTTCCTTATCGTTGACACTCTTATTTGTCATTGACCTTACATCATTACTCAGTGAAGTGCAAAGCATCTTCTCTGTGTGAAAACAGCTGTGTCATGATGAGGTCTACTTTTGGAGTGTTATACAAACCTCCCATTTTGCCTGCTGTTAATTGTAGGTTTTTGTACTGTAAATGTTGACAAGAGATTGATGCTGAGGTTGCAAGGAAAGAGAGGATTCTGTGAGAATGTAACCTGTGGTGTGTATTGGCGCTTTTCCACTACACAGTACCAGCTCGCCTCGGCTCGGCTCGACTCCACTCGACTCGCCTTTGTTTGGTTTTCCACTGTGTAAAAGTTGTACCTGTACCTGCTTTCGGGTACTTTTTTTCGTACCACCTCCGGCGAGGTTCTAAGCGAGCTGAGGCGAGCTAAGCCGATACTAAAATGTGACGTGAAAACAATGCCGACTGCTGATTGGTCACAGAGAATCTGCGTCATCATTGCACGCGCCAGATGGAGTATCCAGAATAACCCCGCCATTTCTAAATAGTTTGGCCAGAGATAGTTACTAAACTTACTACTATTATTATGGCAACTCGGAAGAATACGCCGTGGTCAAACGAGGAGGTGCAGACATTCCTTTGTTTGGTTGTCGAAGAGAGGATCCGGCGAGAGCTTGATGGGGGAACGAAATGCGTCGCTATGACGACCGGGTACTATTTGTGGCGGTACTTTCTGCAATGGAAAACGGAGCGAAAAGCGAGCCGAGTCGAGGCGAGCCAAGGCGAGTCGAGTCGAGTCGAGCTGGTACTGGTAATGGAAAAGCGCCATATGTCTCAACGTAGTTGTATGGTTCACTGCTGCTATTACTGGCATTCACACTAGGATGTGTGAATATTTGGTTCAGCCCTTCATAACTGGTCCTTTCTAAACTACACCCGCCCCTCTCATAACTTTGTGAAGGTGTAGCCTATGCCAGATTCCTGTTATGTTGCATAGTAGTAGGGGTGTGCCGGTTTCAGAATTGGTGATGACGGTTATGACGTGAGTCAAATGTGACGGTTCGTAACATAACCGTCGGGGGGGGGGGGGGGGGTTTAGGACGTTCGGTTGAATAACTGTTCGTCTGTTTTAGGACAACTCGCTCTTAAAATGAACAGCAAGACAACTAGAAGTGAATGTGCTTTCCATTAAATGAATCACACACAGTAAACAAAACCTTAACAAATGAACTTTGCAATTTAGACGCGCAAACTGTGTGCCGGTGCGGTGAGACATACATGCTCGGGTAGATTCGGCTGGAAGTCGGTCATCCTCGGACGCGGTGCCGCGCGCGCTGTTACAAAAAAGCCGTGCACACAGCCAAGCGAAATGGGGCCTTGCCGATCTTGCGCACCCAACGCGTTTTGCCGAGCGCACCTTCGCGCTCGTGCGGACGCGTCGAGTATAAAGCCCCGTTCACATCGCCAGCGATTTTGTCGCTACATGTCGCTAGTCTCTTTACTGTGAAGTCGCTTGTGGGCGTTCGTAGTGCTGTCGCTCTAATGTTATTGGTTGACTGCACGCCTGGCCATATCTATACAAAATACCACCAGAAGTGATATATATACAACAATATCATTTTAATTTGACTAGGAATTAGGCTCAAAAGAAACAGTATGCTGTTGGGAGAGTGTTTTTATATTACCACAGCAGTGTTCAGTGGATTAAATCATTTACAAGATTAACGATCGATGAATCAACAAATTAAACTCACTCATTCCGTCATAAATGACTAAAACGTCATTCGAATTTGACAAATAATCAATTTTCTTGTCCCTAATAGTTAACATAATGCAGGGGAAACTGTAAAATGAACTGCAGCAGTGCTAAACTTGCATCACAAAATTACAACACTCGAACTTTAAATGTATGAATTAAACTCACTGAGACTGTCGACAGTTTCTTTTCCATGCCTCATTTTATTATATCCATGTATGTGGTTACAGACAGTCAAATCATATAAACAGTGAAATCTCCCTCGAACTCCTCTGTCTTGCCTGCACTCGAGACGGTGACGTGAGCTCCACTGAAAGTCTACTTTCCTATTGGTTGTCGCTCGCGAAAATCGCTTCACATTTGCATAAAGTTGAAATTTCTCAACTTTTGTCGCTTGTCTCTTGTCGCTTGACACGCCCACATTCTGTCGCCAACGGTCGCTGTCGCTCGTGTCGCCGGATGTCGCCAGCGCTCCATTGAAATGAATGGGATCATGTCGCTTTGTCGCTGCGTGTCGCTGGCGGTGTGAACGGGGCTTAAACAAGGCTTTACTCCGTGCCAGCGCGCGCTCTTATCGGTAAAGGGGCAGAGACCTCTCCCTAATCATCT